TATCAGCATTTTTTCACCAACTAATTAGCTGTGAGTGACTTAGAACATTTTAAAAGGAGTGAGAAAAATTACACTTCTATCCTAGAGGACTCTACAAATGATAGGCCAATGTTCATCCTTTCAACGGCATGAGCGGCTCTAACATTTTTTCTGCAGAGTAAGCAGCGAGTTCCCTGCAGGAACTCAGGGAACACCATGGATTTCTGTGCCAGGAAGCAGGCCCTTGCTCTCTGAACTAACCCAAGTAGCTTCTTGGACCAAATCCAATTGGCTGGAGCTCAATCCAGATAAAAACAAAAATGAACCTAATTGAAAAGAAGAGAATTGGCAATCTGACAAGAAATCCAATATCAACTCTTTACGAGCCAGCATTGTCAGGCTGATGAGTAATTTTGTGGCAAATTGTTATTTTCAGAATCCCATGGGGATGCAATGGTGAAAAATGCATTCATTCCCCTCTAGCCAGTCAGGAAACCCAGAGCCAGACATGAGCTGTAATTCTAGAAAGCATTGTCTCAAATTTACTCAATATGCAATCTGACTAGCTTAAAGTGGAAACATACAGATAACAGGCATGTTATCATCAAGCAGAACCCCATAAAGCACTCAACTTGGTCCATGTAGAAGGCAATCAAATATAGTCTCAAAGCAAAGTTAACACTGAACGAAGGGCCAAAAGTTCAGGCTTTGTCAATAAACCAGCTCTGTGAATTTATACTAAACTCTGCCACCATTTCTTCTTCTATTTCTGAAGTAGTTTAAATATAAAAAGAATTCTGTAGAGCAAGATACATGTGTCTGTACCCAGCTTTGTTAAATCTTAACATTTGGACTCATTTGCCTCAGATGGCTGGGTAAGTTGTCAAAGAGTGCAGACAGGGGAGGTCCTGAGTATTTCCCATCCTCCCTCCCTCCTCATTGTCCTGCATCCCCCACAGAAGTAACCACTACCCTCTTTTCTGGCACCTATCACTCCCCTGGCTGTCATTAAATTTTTCCATCACAGATACAGACCAATAAACACAGTACAAAACTGTCCTATATGTTTGCAAATTGTGTAGAGCTGATATTATGTGCACAGACAAAAGTCAGCTCAGGTGAAGAAGTAAAGATCAGAGATAACGAAGCCAAACTGTCTGGCTTCAGATAGCAGCCATGCTACTTCCTTCCGGTGGACTTTGGAAACATTACTTAAACTCTCTGCTGCTCCATGTCCTCATCTGGTAAGCAGGGAGTGTAATAGAACCTACCTTAGAAGTTGTCTTGAGGATGAATGGATTATACCTGAAGAACACCAGGGAAAATGCCTGGCACAAATGAAGTACTATGTGTTATCAGTTACTGTTGAAATGTTTTATAGTTTTCCACGGTAAAATATATTTAAATCTACTTATTTAGTCTTCTTTTGATGAACATTTAGTTGTTTCCATTTTTTTTAATATAACACATTCCTGAATATGTCTCCTTGTGCCTATAAGGCAGATTTTCTCCAGTGATTACACTAAGGACAAAATTGCTGGGTGTCAGGTCAGCCCAATCTTGGTGCTAGCAGATCTCAGCATGTTGCTCTCCAAACATGGTGAAAGTTCCTACACTCACTCAGAGTTGTTTTGCTTAATTTGAATTTGTTTATTTTAGTTTTATTTGAAATATAGAAAGAGATTAAGATAGAGATCTTCTATCCACTGGTCCATTTCCCAATGCCTGCAACAGCCAGGAATGAGCCAGGCTGAAGCCAGTGGTCTGGAACTCAATCCAGGTTATTCATGTGGGTGCCAGGGACTCAAGTATGTAATCTAGCACCTGCTGCCTCCCAGTGCATTTTCAGGAAGCTGGATTGGCAATGGAGTAACCAGGACTCAAACTAGGAACCAAAATAGGGGATGAAGCTGTCCAGTGGTGACTTCACTGATGCACCAAATGCCTGCCAAAATCCTTAACACTGTACATACTCGCCAAGTTTAGTGTTGCCCATCTTCTATACGAACAAAATGACCTCCAGTCTTTTGGCATTTTCCACGTTCTCTTTCCTTTCCTTTCCTTGAATTTCTCACTTCTTTCCTTCTCCTCTAGAGATCAACTAGTCCAGTGAGTATCTAACTATTTCATCTGAATCTAGAAGCCTGCTATTTGGCATTTTGCATTTTGAACAGTCTACACACATGGACTTACCATAATACCATTTCAGTAATCATAAAGAAGATTTTACTTAAAATGGCAATATCCTATTCAGGCTCACTTCCAATTCTGTTAAAGCAAATCAGCAGTTTCCAAAGTTTTTAAAGCAATGAACATTTTTTTAAAATGAAAATATAAATTGGCATTTAACTTAAGTGTTGTTTGCTCCTTTCCCCTATTTTTTCTTTAACATGTCTTACATGTTGGTAAGAAAAGTTTCTTGCAATTATAGTTATTCCCTTGGTAAACTTCCTGAAATGCAGAATATTTAAATACTTACATTGATCCCGTTATTTATCCATTAAAGTTACATTTTAAATTTTATTTGATCTTATTTTCATTTTACTCTGATGTATATTGATATACTAAAGTCTCTTGGAGGTATTCACATTAGAAAAAATTACCTTTTATTGCCAAAGAGCACTATAATTTCTATGGAGAAAAATATAGAGCAACCGGTGTTGAAGGTTATGATCATAGAACAACATTGACACCTACTGGTAAGAAGCTTAATTGCATAGAATTTTAAGCTATTTTAAGGTATTTTTTTAAAAATGTATGCAAAATCATGCAGCAATCTTCCTACATGACGTTACATTATAATAGAGTTGGAGAGGCAGGGTGAACCCCCATTAGACACACTGGCGAGACTAGAAGATTGGGTTTCCTTACTATTATTGTTTGAAAGGCAGAAAGAGGAAGAGTCAGAAACAAAAGAGAGATCTCCCATCCCCTGATTCTCTCTCCTCAATTGCCCACAATAGCCAGGACAGGACAGGCCAAAGCCAGGAGCCCAGAACTCAAGCTGGGTCTTCCATGAGGGTGGCAGGGGCCCAATACTTGAGCCATCACCTGCTGCCTGGAAAGGTGTGTACTAGCAGGAAGCTGGAGTGAGAAGCAGAGACAAAGCTGGGACTTCAACCCAGGCGCTCCTATATTAGATACTGGCGACCCAAGTAGCAGCTTAACCACTGTGCCAAATGCCTGTTCCCCGAGACTGGGTGTATACTCTCTCATGCCCGCCCCTTCAGAGCTCTCTCAGATAAACGTATTAAGGATCTTAGCTCCTCTCCTCCCTCTCTGTCCTTATGCCAAGCCTGCTCTTGTCCTAATGTGTAAAGATGCCTTTTTGGGCAACCAATGATAGTCTAGAATCAGCTTGAAAAATGGCTGATTTATGGATTGCTAAATGATATGATATGCCGCTTTGATATCCTCATGTACCCACTTCAACACTCTTGCTATGGGTTCCTCAAAGTCACCTTTCCCCTCCTAAAAAAATTCCCTTATAGTACTGGAACCCACCCATGGACCTCTGCATTGCACTCCAGGTATCTAAGTTGGAACTCTCAGAGTCCTTTACCTATAGGAATCATGAGAAAGGAACTAGCTACACACTCCTTACCGCAAATCTTTGAACCAAGCTTCTGCCACCTACCCAATGTAAGCATCAGAAAGAGCTACAGAGCTTTGGGCCAGAGGTCAGAGAATCAGAACCCTTGTCTTCTGTGTCTCTAACCCAGATCAGACCCAAAGCACTCACTTGCCCCTGGATGCCGGGACTGAGGTAGATGCTTCTTGGGGGCCAGCCCTGAGCCAGATGCGTATCCTACACTCATTCCTCTCTTTACCAAATCTGCCTGATATGAACACCAGTAAGCCACCTGACAGTGTCTTAGAGGATTTTATATCAGGCAAGAAAGAGCACAAAGAAAAGAAACAGTACAAATGAAAGAGAATAAATACAAAGAAAAGGAGCACTTGTCCCAGGAAGACATCACATTACATACCACACACAACACACCACTCATAGACTCCACCTCTATAGCAAAGAAATGCTTGCTGGCTGATCGTGAATGGATAGGTAAAATGCAAAAGGAAAATATAGGATGGAAAAGACACACTGTACAGTTCAATGGATACTCTCTGGGGCAGCACAGAATAAATTATGACATTGACACACTGTTCAAGGTCTGTATAAATATATGAAATGCTGCATTAAGAAGCCATGTTTGCTCATGTCCTGATAAGGATATAAATCTTATATCAATAGTGACCTGTGTTAAGAAGGATTAATTTGAACCATACCTGGGTTCAGCAGTAGAGTTGTGTGGCTGATTAACAACGTCTTCACCAGCCACACACTTACCAGATAGTTCCCTATTCTTTTCTGGAACCAACCTCCCATGACCTCTTCCTGCTTTGCAAGCTTCACTGTGGAAAGCAATCCCTCAGGAGTCTCACTGAAATGCAGATTCTGATGCCATCGATCTGGGATGGAGTCTGGGATTTTGCATGTTCCAAGAGTTGCCCATGCTGGTCCACATTACTTTCAAGTCTTGTTTTCTAACATTATGACCAATTCCCTTGACAACTGCCAATAATATTACTACCTTTATTCCTTTATCTTACTGCTGGCCAGGCAGAAACAGGAGAGTAGCTACTCTAAGTATCAGAGAATCTAAAAAATGTAACCAAAGGGATTGTACACCATTTTATAATTTTTCAGTGTTCAATTTTACACACTTCAGTCTTTATGTGTATGTGTACAAGTCATATAGTAAAGTCTGATTTATCAATTCTTCATAAGCTGTTTCTCCCACTCTCCCTGAGTCCTACATTAAAACAATGGTTATGTCCTTAAGGTGACCCTGAAGCTCTACAAGACCATGAACTCCCTACTAAGTACTCAAATAAACCACATTTCCAATAGTTGCATAATCATGTTTACTTTATTGTATTCTAATTCTTTTTAAGATTGTATCCAAACACAACGTACATGATAGTTCCCTGTTAGTCTTAATATATCTTAGTCCTCAACAGTGCAAATAGTCTGAAGGTGAGATATACTTGTGCTTTTATAAAGATTATTGCATACAAGGAACATGTGGAAAAATTGGAAGATACAGATGCAGACAGATTGATCAGTTATATCTTTTCCCATATCCATTATGAAAAATCCCACAATAGGATTGTTCTTGCATTCCAGTACCCCACAGAGAGTGTGTAGGCCTTGTGCAGTGCACCAAAGCACATGCTGCTTTTGAGAAAAATTCCTAGCTGTGTCTTCATCTTCTTCCAAATGACAGTAAACTTTACTCACATGATTAAAAGGATAATGAGACATAGCCCTGTCAGTGACAAGCTCTTCAATCCTGTGTAGAGTCTGTGGGCCCACTTTCTACTCCAGCTCCTTCAAGAGATGAAAATTCTGTCTCAATAAGTGGTTTCAGAAATTTCTCCACCTTGGTCAATCTTTGCTTCAGTTTCCGCTGCATGGACTCATACTCAGCCAGGATCCGGGCAAACCTCGTTTGCATGAGATCTACCGAGCCCTCCATTCGAGCAACCTTCTCTTCGAGATCTTTAGGGTCACTGCCAGCGTTTGCAATGTTCACATCCAGCAGGCCGTCCTTCATCAAGATCTGCTTCCCTTTCTCTTCCAGCATTTTTTTGGCATCCGGGTACTCAGTTAGAGCCTCCATGAGGTCATCTTTTGAGAGACAGAACAGGTCTGAATAGCCAATACTTTTAATATTGGCTGTTCTTCGATTGCCAGCTTTGCTGCCTTTAATGTTAAGAATGCTGATCTCACCAAAGTAGCTGCCATCACTCAGCACCACAAACTGAGTGATTCCATCATCTGCCACCACAGCGAGTTTGCCTTCCTTGATGATGTACATCTCTCGTCCAATATCCCCTTTCTTGCAAATATAATCTCCAGGACTATAGACTTGGGGCTGTAACTTCAAGACCAATTCCACCAACAGACCTGCTTCACAGTCAGCAAAAATGCGCACCTTTTTTAATGTGTCTAAGTGAACATTGATGGCGATTTCTGCTCTCAGTTTATCAGGTAGATACTTCAAGACTTCTTTTTCATCAACTGTCTTTTTGTTGGTCCACAGATAGTCAAACCACTTAATAACTCTCTTTTCCATATCCTTGCTTACGTTGCGGAAATTCATGTATTGCTTGATAGCGTCGACTCTTGCCTGAAATTCTGCCCTAGCTGCGTTCATGTTGGAAATCATAGAACCTATATTACCAACAATGGTAGCAAAAATTAACACTCCAATTAAGAAGTCAACCACCACAAAGACATACTCAGAATCCAGCACAGGAGGTGGTGTTTCACCAATGGTAGTCAGAGTCAGTGTAGACCAATACAGACTGTAGACATATTTTCTAGCCAAACGACCAAATTCAGGATCATTAACGTCAGGGTATACCCATGCATCATTTCCAAATCCAATAGCTTTCGAAATAGAGTAGTACACACATGCATTCCAGTGGATAATGATGACAATATACATGACAAGATTAGAAATTCTGAAGATGTTTGGGTAGTTTGTCCTCGTTTCTGTTCTCTGAAAGAACTCAAACATACGAGAGATCCTTAACAGCCTGTTTAATCTGATTTCTGGATAGTTCCACCCCAACTTAAAATACAGCAGATCAGTTGGTACCACTGACAGAACATCAAGTTTAAACTGCAAATTCGATTTATATTTTTCTATGAGTTTGCGCTCTTCCTTCACCAGCAGTCCTTGTTCTAGGTAACCTAAAACACAAGGAAAAAAATCAATCTAACGATTCTCGTTTTAATGTCATTATGAACTTCTCTAAAACAATTCTCAATTAACTTTGTTGAGTTCAAACCAAGAATTTATTTTCACTAAGTATGATGTTAGCAGTGTAATAAGATATTAGTACCAACCAACATAAGACTGGGAAAATATTCTGTGGTAGAAATAGAAAGTAGGGGCTGGCACCATGGCTCACTTGGTTAATCCTCCGCCTGCGGTGCCAGCATCCCATAGGGGCACCAGGTTCTAGTCCCGGTTGCTCCTCTTCCAGTCCAGCTCTCTGCTGTGGCCTGGGAGGGCAGTGGAGGATGGCCCAAGTGCTTGAGCGCCTGCACCCACGTGGAAGACCAGGAGGAAGCACCTGGCTCCTGGCTTTGGATCGGCACAGCGCTGGCCGTAGCGGCCATTTGGGGTGGGGGGAGGTGAACCAATGGAAGGAAGACCTTTATCTCTGTCTCTCTTTCTCACTGTTTATAACTCTACCTGTCAAATTTTTAAAAAAAAAAGATAAAAAATAAAACTTTGGAAGTGTAAAAATGAGAAGTTTGTATGCATACACGGATCTATTGCAAAGTCTTGTGTGTCTATTCAAATCTGTGCACAGCCAGCATCCCCAGACAGGTGAAGCCATTCCTTCGGTGGAATACTGATCACGTGATCCTGTGATATACATGTATCAAGAAGGCCTCTGTACTAATTTTCCAGGACAGAGCTCTTAAAATCTTCAGTTTTCCAAACGTTATGGGTACTAGGTGCAGGTTTTGTTCTAATGTCTGACCTTTGACCACAATCCCTGACACAGAGCTCCTAATCCCCTGCAGTTTCCCGGGTTATAAGAGTGTCTTTTGCTCCAATGAGGCCACTCTTGGTGGACTCCTGGATGGAGGCTAGTCTTAGAAAGACTAAGCCATAGGTAGAAGCTAGGAACCTTCAACCAATCCTTAGGAGATGGGGCAGGATATTGAGTCAAGAGTCTATGATGTCTACGTGATGAAGCCTTCTCTAAAAATCCCTGAACTATGGGGCTGGGAGAGTTTTTAGGCTGGCAAACATCCACATGCCAGGAAGGTGCTGAGCACCTGAATTCCACAGGGACATAGCTCCTGCTCTCATGTCCCTTCTAGACTTTGTCCTATGCGTGCATCTCTTCATCTGAGTAATCTTCTATATCCTTTATTAACCCTTTATTAATACAATACACTGAGAAATGTGCTTCCCTGAGTTCTATGAGCCATGGCAGCAAATTACTGAACCTGAGGAAGGTGTTGTGGGAACACTGATTTATAGACAGACTGTCAGAAGCCCAGGTCACAGTCTGGGGCTTATGATTGCATCTGAAGTGAGGAATGGCCTTGTGTCAATGAGTCCTTAACCTGTGAAGTCTGTACTACCTTGGGCTAGTGTCAGAATTGAGTTAACACCAGGATACACACCTGGCGTTGCAGAATTCTTTGGTGCATATCCTGCTGCCTATTTTTCATATCAATGTTTACCCCTTCAATGTGAAGCATAAGTACATCTATTTCCTTTACCCCAGTCTTTATTATTCACCTGGGATTTCCCTTCTGCACGGTCACCATGAGCCTTGGGTTTTGAACCCAGAAATTTATCACTCAGATACATGATGTTAGGGGAAGAATTTGCTTCCCCTCCTCGCTTGCTAGCTATCAAAGCTGCAAAGAGGGCACTGCCCCTAGAGCATTTCTCCAGAGCACTAACGTTTAGAGAAAGTTTGGATTTCACACAATGATTCTTAAAAAAAAAAAAAATGTTCCTACTTTGTGTGCACTAGTCTTATTGACACAAGTACAACTGTGTAGAAACTATGAGGTTATAACTACTTAATAAGAATACCTCAAATAGGATGCTATCAAATGCTTCTCCCTGGATAATTAATGCCATCCCAGGAGCCACTAAGTTAACTTAAGAGTGTTTTCTTTTAAAATTCCTAGTTTGGTTCTGCTGGATACAATGACATTTTCCCCCAGACCTCTTTAAGATATCTTCCTATTAGGTAGCAATTACCCTTTCCCCACAGAGCTGGCAGAATATTCCTGAACTTGCTATTTCTGTCGCTTAGCATGTACCTAGGGAGCAGGGTAACGGAGGAAAACCACCGACCCACATTCTCAAGGTTGCCTAGTAACGTTCTTCTGAATAAAGTGGCCCAAGCCCACTCATGGGTTTTTCTGAACCTATTTTGAAGAACACTTGAATTTGAAAATTTCAAATTATATGATGGAGATAAAAGCAAGAAATTTTAAAATATCAAAGCTGAACATATTTACCTGTCCGTGTTCGTACAAACATGTCAACAAGATAGACTATATCTGACAAGTAGTCACAAATGAGCCAATATTCTAGGTAATCAGATTGAAGTTCATCAAAACAGGCTCTGTAAAGGAAAAAGGGAATAAATAAAATGAAATGGGGCTCGATTTAAGTAAAAGTCCTCTTGGTATAATTTCTATCAGATGAAAAATACAACAAACTAAGGCTAGCAAGCATCCTTGGAATTCATTTCGGACAGAAAAATAGCAGAAGAAACGTTGAGGAAGTACATTCCCGGGGAGAGTTGGAGAGAAATCTGCAGTGGAAATTCAACAGAAGGAAGAGGGGCGCTGTGGATCAGGATGGAAGGCGCAGACACGCAGCCATGAGTGCGGCCACCATACACAACCCCGCAGCTGAAAGCTGGAGGGTACGCCAGCTTTGGAGAGCCAACTGAGAGCAGACTGCGGCAGCCTGTGCCACAGGTGATATTACCAGAGGGAGAGCCTTGTGGACCACACTGTCTTCAAGTCCAGCCTGAAGCCCTAACGGGGTGGAGGGGGTCAGAGTACCTGCCTACCCCAGCGAAAGAAAAGCACATTTCTTTCTCCCTATCATCCCGCAAGGGCACCCACAACTGGTGGGGAGAAGGCACCATTTTGACACAAGTAGAGGCTGCAGCAGCTCTCCCTCTTGCAAAAGGGATTTTAGCAGAGGGAAAAATCTGTGTTCCCAACTGGCTTTAAGTCTGGCTGGGAGGGTTGATAGGCGGCTGTACACCCACATAGGATTGTGAGGGACCCCCATCCTCTCAACATATCCCAGGCTCTGGGGCTCAAACTGCCAAGGCACAGCACCCACAGGAAGCTGGCTCTAGGAATATGTCTGCTGTCCCTGTGGATTGGACAGGCTAGTAGGCAGAGCCGATCCTCTGCATCCCATGATTATGGGAGGCTTGAGTGCTACAATGGTGGGAACTCTGACTGCACGATATGGCACAGGTGAAGTCGGGTCTCTGGGCAATCACTGTGGCACCAGAGGCTCAGAACTCCCTGACTGCCTGGGGTGGGTCCCTGCACAGGGACCCCTCCTCACACTGACAACTACACAGATCCTTTCTGTGGTTCACGTGGCAGCGCAGGTGCCTAGAGGAGATCTATCACACCCAACTTGGGTGTCACCCTGGATACTCGCCCCACACTGGAGCACTGACCAGAGCTCTCTGGCCATACCCAGAACACACCTCTGGGTATTCAATGAAAGATCAAACACTACACCAAGCCACAGAGGCACAGTTCAAAGATAAAATCTATCAGAGCGGGGCTGGCACTGTGGCACAGTCAGTTAAAACCCCAGCCTGCAGTGACAGTATCCCATATGGGTACCAGTTCAAGTCCTAGCTGCTCCACTTCTGATCTAGCTCCCTGCTAATGTGCCTGGGAAAACAGTGGAGTAAGACTCAAGTGCTTGGGTATCTGCACCCATGTGGGAGACTCAGAGAAAGCTCCTGTCTCCTGGCTTTGGATCAGCTCAGCTCCAGCCATTGCGGCCATCTGGGGAGTGAACCGGTGGATGGAAGACCTCTCTCTCTGTCTCTTCATCTCTCTGTAATTCTTTCAAGTAGTAAGTAAGATCTTTTTAAAAAAAAAAAATCCATCAGAGAAAACCAACAATTATTTCCACAAATGCCTAAGATTAAATGCAGAAGTTCAAGAAACAAAAATAAGGAAGACAACATGACTCCCACAAAGGGACACAACAACCCTTCAATATTAGAATGTGAAGATGAAGAGACTGATGAAACCCCTGAAATGGAATTCAAAAGAGTGATCATAGAATTGCTCAAAAGCAATGAGGAGCAAATTCATGAGTTAAACAAATTCATACGTGACGTGGAGGAAAAATTTTCCCATGAGATTGAGATTTTGAAGAGAAATCAAACTGAAATATTAGAAATGAAGAATTCAATATGTCAAATAAAAAATGCAGTGGGAAGCCTTAACAACAGACTTGGTGAGGCAGAAGAAAGAACACCTGAGATAGAGTGCAAATATTTGGAAACACATCACTCAGACCAAAAAAAAAATGAAGAAGAAATTATAAAAATTAAAAATACTGTTATAGATTTATTGGATACTATCAAATGACCCAACATATGGGTATTACAAGCTCTTGTAGGTGTGGAAAGAGATAATGGATTACAGGGCCTATTCAGTGGAAAAATTACAGAAAACTTTCTTAAATTGGAGAAAAAAAAAGACTTCCAAATACATGAGTCACACAGAACTTGTAATAGATATGACCAGAAAAGATCTTCACCACAACACTTTATAGTCAAACTTTCAACAGTAAAACATAAAAATTCTAAAGTGTGCATAAGAGAAATGCCAAATTACATTCAGAGGATCTCCAAATAGACTCACAGCTGATTTCTCTTCAGAAACCTGACAGGCCAGGAGAGAATGGAGAGACAGAGTTCAAGTCTTAAAAATAAGCATGAGGCCGGCGCAGGCTCACTAGCTATCTAGCCTGACCGGCACACGGTTTAGTCCAGTAGAACGCCAGAATTCTGTCCAGTTGCCCTCTTCAAGCAAGCTCTCTGCTGTGCCAGGGAGTGCCAGTGAAGAATGATCCAAGTGCTTAGATCTGCACCCCATGGGAGACCAGGAGAAGTACCTGGCTCCTGCCATCGGATCAGCGCAGTGCGCCAGCCACAGGCGCGCCAGCCACAGCGGCCACTGGAGGGTGAACCAATGGCAAAGGAAGACCTTTCTCTCTGTCTCTCTCTCTCTCATTGTCCACTCTGCCTGTCAAAAAAAAAAAAAAAAAAAAAAAAGTAAGCATGAAACAAGTCCCCTACCTTACACTTTATACAAAAATCAACTCACAGTGGATCAAGAACCTAAATCTACAACCTGATATAACTAAATTACTAGAATAGAACATTGGGGAAACTGTGCAAGATATTAGCATAGGCAAAAACTTCTTGGAAAAGAACCTAGAAGCACAGGCAATCAAACCCAAAATAGACAAATGGGATTACATCAAGCTAAGAAGATTCTGCACTGCAAAGGAAACACTCAGCAAAGAAGACAATATTTGCAAACTATGCAACTGATAAAGGATTAATATCCAGAATCTATGAAGAGCTTAAGAAACTCAACAACAAAATAAATAATCCAGTTAAGAAATGGGCAAAGGTCTTGAACAGGCATTTTTCAAAAGAGGAAATTAAGATGGCCAGCAGACACATGAAAAATTGCTCAGCATCACTAGCCATCAGGGAAATGCAAATCAAACCTACAATGTAGTTTCTCCTCATCCCAGTTAAAATGGCTCACATACAGAAATCAACAAGTGCTGACGAGGATGTGGGGGAAAAGGTATGCTTTTTTAGGTAACTGAGATGTTTACACCCTTGGTGGTAATGTAAACTAGTACAGCCATTGTGGAAGACAGTATGGAGATATCTCAGAAAGCTGAACAGAGATACACCATTTAATTCAGTCAGCCACTCCTGGGAATTTACTCAAGGGAAATGAGATCAGCATATGAAAGATATACCTGTAACCTCATGTTTATTGCAGCTCAATTCACAATAGCTAAGATATGGAATCAACCCAGATGCCCATCAACTGATGACTGTATAAAGAAATTGTGAGATATATATATATAATACTACTCAGCCATAGAAAAGAATGAAATTCTGTCTTTTGCAACAAAATGGATGCAACTGGAAACCATTATATTTAGAGAAATAAACCAGTCTCAAGAAGACAAAGACTATATGTTTTCTCTGATCTGTCATAATTAATAGAGTACAAAAAAAAGTGATGCATAGGAGTGAAATCGACACTTGAGATTTGATGGTTGTTTATAGCCCTTGTCTTTTCTGTTAAGAAACAGTGGGTTTTTTTTCCTTACAAGAAACAAAAAGAATTCAGTTCCTCAATCTTGGCTTTCCCAAATCTTTCTCTGAATAGTTGGTTTTTATTTATTCATACTTCTGAATTCTAACATTCTTTCCCATTATACCAGTTGGCTTTATAAAAACATGAACTAAGAATAAATGGCCACAAGCTAAAGCCAGAATATGTTGGATGAAACACATTAATCACCAAGTTCATATTAACTATCTGTACCCAAAGCACTTCAGGAAATTGTACTTGGTATTAGGTAACTGAGATGTTTACAATCTAAAAGATACCAAATCCTTGATCTTCTCCTATATTATCAGCATTTTTTGTTGTAGGCTGAAGAAAACACAAAGTATCTGCCTATACTTTAATTATATGAACAATAAAAACTTTTAATGTATTCCCCCTCCTGCTCCCCCTTCCTCCCAATACTGAAGATCCAAGTATACAAAGAATTAAGACATCTCTTTGGGGCCAGCGCTGTGGCACAGCAGGTTAAAGCTCTGGCCTAAAGTGCCAGCATCCTATATGGGCGCCGGTTCTAGTCCCAGCTGCTCTACTTCCTATTCAGCTTTCTGCTATGACCTGGGAAAGTAGTAGAAGATGGCCCAAATCCTTGGGCCCCCGCACCCACGTGGGAGACCTGGAAGAAGCTCTGGCTGTTGCGGCCATTTGGGGAGTGAACCAGTGGATGGAAGACCTTTCTCTTTCTCTAACTCTCTCTGTAACTCTGTCTTTCAAATAAATAAAATAAATTTAAAAAAAGATATCTCTTCTTGACCTCAGGAAAACACACTGAGAATAACTTAACTGCTCTTTATAATCTGTGATAGAGATGTGAGGTATGTTCTGAAGAGCTATGGTTCAAAATTTTTAATAACTTGGAAACTAAAAAGTAGGGATGATATCCACAAACAAATAGATACCTTGCAATAATCATAGTCCAGTTGTACATCACAGGTAAAGTGATACAAAACAGCCAGTTGTAATATGTGTTTCCTGAGGGATCAATAATCATGACTTCTTTCTTCTCCCTAGCAGCAATTAGAAATAAAAAGGAAGGTTACCAAGAGACAAAAATTTTTTATACCATATCAAATATGATGATGACTGCTACCCACAATTAATGACACAGAAGTAAACTGGATAAGCTCACTCTGCAGTGGGAAGATTAGCATGGCATAAGTGCATGAGCCATAAGACATTGGTGAGTGAAGGGACAATTAAATGACCAGTTCTACATTCAACTGTGTTAAACTTTCACAAAAGCCCTAGGGTTCCTACAAGGCAGCAGCACTTCTATGCCCTAGGCACTGACAGAGAATGACAGCATAGATCACAAAAAACTGTAACTACTCCATAGACCCTTTGGAAGGTTGTGGGTGGTAGGATAGTGATTTTGCCACTCCTCATCAAGTACAAAGTCACCAGGAACTACACTGTGAGGGAGAACTCATGGCTTCTTTCTCATCTGTAGGGAAAGAAGGATATTCTGACACTATATAATACGAAGCCCTAATAAGAATATAAGCATATATAAAGGATTCTTTAAGAGAGGCAATAGAGAGTAAGAGATAGGAATGAAGAAAATATGGTCAAATGGAAATTTTTTTTAATATTCTGGTATCAAGCCAATATTTTTAAAAACTTTTCTTCTCACACAAATTTCAAAAACTTTCAAAACAGGCAGAAATAATTGAATCTCATGTCTGAAAAAGGATTATGTTGGGGCCAGCACTGTGGCTTAGTGAGCTAAGCCTCCGCTTGTTACACCAGCATCCCATGTGTGCCCCTGTTCTAGTCCCAGCTGTACCTCTTCCAATCTAGCTCTCTGCTATGGCCTAGGAATGCAGTAAAGGATGGCCCAAGTGCTTGGGCCCCTGCACTCACATAGGAGACCTGGAGGAAGCTCCTGGCTCCTGGCTTCAGAACTGTCCACCTCTGACCATTGTGGCCATTTGGGATGGAGGACCTCCCTCTCTGTCTCTTCCACTCTCTATATGTAACTCTACCTCTCAAATAAATAAATAAAAATATTTATTAAAAAAGAATTATGTTAAGTAAATTCAGAAAACAATTTCCCTTTAATAAAAAGTAAAGGAGCATTACATGTGCCATTGGGTCTAACTCTTGTGAAATCCTAGCTCTCAAATGTTTGTTTCAAAAAGAATAGTTGGGACAAATATTTGTCCTAACAGGTCACCAGTGTCCCAAACTGGAGTGCCTAGGTTCAATCCCCCGACTCCACATTCCTTCTAATATGGACCCTCAGAAGCAGAGGTGATGGTTCAAGTACCTGGGTTCTTGCCACCCACATGGGAGATCTGGATTGAGTTCTTGGCTTCAACCCCCAGCCATTGTAGGCATTTAGAGATTGATCCAGAAGTTGTGAGTGCTCTCCTTTTCTCTGTCTCTTTTTCCCTCCCCCAGAAATAAATAAATTTTTTTAAGATTTATTTTATTTATTTGAAAGAGTTACAGAGAGATAGAGCACTTCCACCTGTTGGTTCACTCCTCAAATAGCTGCAATGGCAGGGGCTTCTTCCAGGTCTCCCAGTGGTCCAAACATTTTGACCATCTTCCACTGCTTTCCCAGGTGCATCAGCAGAAAGCTGGATTGGAAGTGGAGCAGCCGGGACTCGAACCAGCACCCATATAGAACACCAGCATCTCAGGCAGCAGCATTACCTGCTACATCAAAACGCCAGCCCTAACAAATAAACTTTCTTAAAAAATAATGCTTCAGGAGGCTGATATCTTGTTGACATTCATACCGCTCTCAAAATTAGTCACGGCTTTTACAATGAGGCCTTTTTTTCTTTGCAGTATTTGCCATATAATTTTCATTAGTCAAAATAAAATTTAAAAAATTGGATCTGTGTAGGTTGAACAAGTTGGAATACAGTATTTAGTTAACAAGCTTATTACATTTTTATTTGTTTTTAAAAATTAATAGTAATATGGTAGGAATCCAATTTTCTTTGGAATCTATTTCCCAGTGATAACTTTTACTTCCTCAATGCTTGGGGAAGAAAATTACCATACTAGTGAAAATAATTGGTGAGAAATAACTCTTGATTTTAGGGAAATTATAACAAAATTTTAATATACATTTTGCAAGAACTCGTTTAAATGTTTATCTTATACTTTTGGTTGTTTTTATTATTTGAGAGGCAGAGAGAGACACAGAGCTTCCACCTGCTGGTTCACTCTCCAAATGCCTACACTGACCTTTGGTGGGCCAGCCTAAATCACAGACTGGGAACTTAATCCAGGTCTCTTTCATAGATGGCAGGAACCCAATTCCATGAGCTATCATATGCCACCTTCAGAAAGCTGCAATCAGAAGCTGGGCCAGGACTCAAATCCAGGGGCTCCATATGGGACACAGATATCTTAACCAGTTTTGTAACTACCAGGCCAAACATCTACCACTAAATGTCTATTTTAAAATGTTCCAAAATATTTAGTCTTTACACAAGGTCTTGTTACAATAAAGCTTTTTCTTACTTCACATCATGAGAAATTAGGCTTGCAACTAAAACTCAATACAAATCCATTTCTAATTGGAATGCTAGTAAAAATACTTAACTCTTCTTTCTTTTCTTTCTTTGTCTCCTCTTTCTTTTTCTTCTCTTTCTCTTTTTCCTTCTTCTTTTTCTTCTCTGAATCCTTTTTATTTTCATTTTTATCATCTGATTTGCTGAAAAAGTTGAGTTTGTAATATTAAAATATGAAAATATTACAAGTAGAAAAACTTGGGGTCACTCGTGCCAAAGTCTAACTTACCTCTTCTTTTCTTTTTTCTTTTTCTTTTTTTCTTTTTGTTCTCTAGAGAAGAAACAATATCTCCGTCACATAATCACATTTTACTCTGACTTCCACTCTTATTTGCTTGCCTCTCCACCGAGCAAGAATTCTCAGCCTTGCATTTCTAGAGAGGCCTCAGTGCTTAGAAACACAGTACTCTAGTCTCCTAGGGGAGATGTCTGCCAGAAATGGACAATTATCCAGTTAATAAAAGAAACAAAAATACCTGGGTTAATAGACGTGGAAAACTGAAGAAAATGGAGATAAATAAAGGCATAAACCCAATGAGAGAAATTTAGCAACAAGAGACCCAAAAAAGTATGCTTCCAAAATGACAATGTATAAAAAAAGTTACTTAAAATTTAAATGTCTTGACCTCATTTATGTTTATGCTTGAATAAAAGCATCATGAATTTCAAGAAGATGCTAATCAATCTTTTCTTGAGATTTTCAAATTTTCCTGAGTAGTCAAAAAGCTCTGTAGTAATATAGTAGAATCCTAATTCCCATTATTAGAATCATTCACTAGATTTAAGACCACCTTTTTCTATGTACAATTTCCTCTTGGGAAGAGATTATGTGGTTAGAGGCTTTTTCTACAATTTTCTACAATTAGCTTTCTCTTTCAGAAGAATGGAGTCTGGAGTCAGACAGACCTAGGGCCACAATTTGTTATCCTTGTCAGCTAAGAGTTCTCAGGAAAAATTCATTATTCGGGGGTGAATGAACAGTCTGTCTCACTGCCACTAGGCTAGTCAGAGAAGGCTGTTAAAGAGAGACAGTCACAGATCTGAACCTAGGCCTCTAAATAGGGGTAAAAGTTGAGAAGAGGCAGGTTATTAAACGGAGGGATATTCTGAGTGCAAATGGAATTAGTGCGTAAGAATGACCCTGCAGAATTGGAAATCTAATGTTGAGAGGAGGGAGATAAGCCTGGGGAGGGAGATGGGGCTTGGTGTCGAGTTCCTGGAGGAGGTCTTTCCACACCAGGTGAGTTTTCTAAATGAAGAAAGTAAAGCTGAGTGATGCCCTGTGTGGATCCGGCAGAGCACAGGACCCAGGCACTCATTCCCTACCTGCCAGGAGTGTGCTTGCTGACAGCGAATAGCTGTCCCTCTCCCTTGGCTGGCCTTGGCTTATAGAAACCACCTCACTCACGTTTATGCCCCCACTTTCTAGGGCCAGCCCTTAGCCAATGACTGTGCATGGGCACAAAGGCCCAGCCCTGTTACCTATTTATGGGAAAACTCCAAACGCTGTCCTATAAGTTCTGAAGCTCAACATTGGATATCAGTTCTATTCCCTACCCAATCCTGCCCCTCCACCCACCCAGCTCCTTCCTAGAAATTGTTCCTGAGAGCATGCTCAATAAACCTCTGCACACAGACCTCTACCTCAGAGACAGTCTCCCTGGGAACTTGAATTAGAAAGCATTGGCTCAGACCAACCTCTCTCAAGTTTTTTTGTGGGAGCAGGGCTGGGGTAGGGACTAGGATTTTAATTATATTTTAATTTTGAATTAGTTTTTAACAGATTCAATTTCCTTTGCAGATACAATTCTAAGAATATAATGATATTTCCTTCCTACCTCCTCCTTTTCTACCCTCTTTCCCTCCCACCCTTATTCCTTTGCCTTTTTTTAAAGTTTTTGAGATAACATATTTTACATTACAGTAAAAAGGCATAATCCTTTAATGAAAAAGAAGCTTAACAAATAAAAAGCAAAAAGTCCCGTTTAGTGGAAAATAGAAAGTGACTATAAATAATAATTAAATAGAAAAATGACCACTTGATCCATATATAGTAATTTTTAAAGTATAATTAAAACTATAGTAGTACAATATTCTTTTTTTTTTTTCTTTTTGACAGACAGAGTTAGACAGAGAGAGAGAGAAACAGACAGACAGACAGAGAGACAGAGAGAAAGGTCTTCCTTTGCCATCGATTTACCCTCCAATGGCCGCCGCAGCCGGCGCGCCGCGCTGATCCGAAGCCAGGAGCCATGTGCTTCTCCTGGTCCCCCATGCGGGTGCAGGACCCAAGCACTTGGGCCATCCTCCACTGCCTTCCCGGGCCACAGCAGAGAGCTGGCCTGGAAGAGGGGCAACCGGGACAGAATCCGGTGCCCCGACCGGGACTAGAACCCGGTGTGCCGGCGCCGCAGGTGGAGGATTAGCCTATTGAGCCGCTGTGCCGGCCTTAACAAAGGTACTTTTAATATGGGTAGCCGCATTGTTCATCTATAAATAACCAAACAACAAAATAACAGAATATCATTGCCACTGAGTTTACCAAATGTGAGGGTACTTCAAACCATTCCTGGAAAATGGAATCAAACGATAAGTTTATCTTGGGACAAACATTTTGAAATCCATTTATATATTTTTTATAATATGCATTTTCCATTTTTTGAAAACCCGTCTAATCTGTTCCATAACAAGTTTATCCAACCTTTTTACTGGATTTCTTTAAAAAGTAAAGCTTTGGCTTTCTGTACTACATATACTTACTGGTCCTTGTTACTGCTGTTGTTAATGTTGAAAAGTGCCATGGTACCCGGCAAGTACTGCTGCCTGGGAACGAAAAACACCGCGTGAAATCACAACAGTCACAAGCTGCAGAATGTCCCTGGCAGTCTGAACAAATTCTTTTCGGCCTCATTACTAATGATTGCCCAGATGATTTTTGAAAATACAGATTCCCCCGTGAATCCTGAATTGCCAAATAAAGTACCTTAAACCAAAGTGGTTAGTAAATACCTATTGATTAAGGTTCACATTTAGCTTCCTCTTTAGCCTTGACGGAAGCAACCTGGGTATGCTAACTCCTACCCAGAGACTTAACACTGTCAGGGAGGATAAGAAAGAAGACAAGAGAAGATGAATAAAAATAGCAGGAAGGCAGGAGGTGGCTGGTGAGAAGAAAAAAAAAAGCAGGGGGATGGGGGAGGGGACGGGGAAGTAAATAAATAAACCAAAAGTGACTGTGTCCCATAGGACAGGAGCCTGTGACCCACACCTGTGCCACACTCCTGCACACCCTCAGAGCCCCACGTCTGAAGTTTCCATAACCGCTTTTTTTTCCTGCTAAGGATTGACAGCACTTCTCTTCCAGCTACTCATCCTAGCGCTCTATTTCCTGGAAGTAGGGTCAAATGGGATCAGAGCTTCAGAGAATAATTGCCTCAGGACCCAGAAAGAAGAATCAGACAGGAGCAGGGAAGAAGAGGAGCTGGGCCATAAATGTCCTAAAGGACAGACACAGGTCTCCAGGAAAATGATCAGCGAGAGTGGGTATGACTTGGAACCCCAAGCCCATGAATAAACTCCAGGCAGAGGCAGTGTCCCAGGAGAGGGAATGAGTCAGGAACACGGGAAGCAAGCTATCCCCAAGACTGCATAGTGCAGAATAGCAGGAGCACTTACCAGCCCACACTGTGGACGGAGAAGACCTAGCACCTAAGCAACTGTTTAAAAACAGGTTCTGAGGGATAGAGGGCACCGCTCACCTCTGCGGTGGTCCTTCCCTTCTGTGTGAGTTATCTCCAAAGGAACCCCTTGTGTGCAGGCTTTCATTTTCTGACTCTTCAGATACAGAGGCACTGTCATCATCTTCAGAAAAGGAGCTACAGTCCAATAGGAGGCAAGGATGAATTAGATCTCATTGTGGAGGAGTAGCCTTGTTCACTAGGGCCGCCACTGCCTCATCTCTCTTCTTTCCCTCTCAGACTAACCCATTCAACAATTCTTAATTACAGTAAGTTGAGAACTGTACAGAACGCATAGAATTATATAGAACACAAGCACATTTGAGTAAAACACGTTTAACCAAGAAACTATTTTCTAGGACTGCCACTTTCTTATCGGTTGGTGTTAATATTTACCAAACAGAAGATGTAATATCTGGGTTTTTAAGTTGTATTACAGAGTTGTATAAAGGAACTTACTGCCTAACAAATATTTCCTTCCATTAAAAAGAAATTCAACCACATTTACACATATCCTATCTATTTATAGGGTAACCACTTTAAATTACATTTTTAATTTTTAGCATAGCATTTCGTAGCCTATGGACTTTTTCACATTTGTCTATCACGATGTCACCCCTTTAGGTCTGAAATGTCCCATGAAGAATGGCCCTGCCAGCAACTGAAGAAGTATTTGGCAAGGGTGCCCAGGAGGTACTTCCAAAACAATGACAATAGTAATATTACATCCATTTGTTAGAACAGTTATGCTGTTCCAAAGTAAACATCAACTCACTCAAACTCATTGCAAAGTCCAAGAATATAAATCATGAAGTTAAATTGAAATTAAGCCCAGTTAATGGAACAACTCTGGCCAGCACTACAAACAAAGATTTACCTGCATGCTCCATTTTCCATCCTTCTTATTTCCTTTTCAATATCTGGAGCAATCACATTGGGAATGTTTATAAAGGTGCGCCGTGTATTGATAATATTTGGCTTCATGGTTAGTTTAGTATCTGAGAAGAAAGCAGCCTTATTAATGGAAAGTTTAATTTTATTACATATATCATCAAAGTTTCACTCTAACATTCTTCTCAACCCGTGATAACACTCAATTCCAGTCACACACAGAAATTACTCTTTGGTAGAATAAGATATGAGACACATACAAATTAAAAATAAATATTAAAAAAAATGGAAATGGAGGGTGGCCATTTGGCTTAGCAGCAAAGATGGCGCCTGGGAAGACTGTATCCCCATTATCAGAATGCCTGGGCTCCATTTTTGGTCTTGGCTCCTGACTCCAGCTTCTCACCAATGCAGACCCTGGGAGGCTGCAATGATTCCTGGAGCCTGCAATTATTCGACTGACTGGGTCTCTGCTGCTTCTGACTTTGGCTCTGGCCCATTGTATGTATCTGAAGAGTAAACCAGCAAATGGAAGTATATGGGAGTGTTCTCTTTCTCTCTCTAATAAATAAAAACCAAGATAAAATGGGATGGTGTGTTCTAGTTAAACAGAAAATTGGAAAGTCACATAAAGAAATTTTCATTCTTGGGCTATGCCATGAAAACAGGTTATTACTAAGGCATAAAATGATGTCTTGGCTGCAGCTCTCTGGACCATGCTGTGTCACACTTCAGTGCCTCTGCTTGTGCACTCCTTTAGGATGGAAAACACATCTCCCCTGAGTCCAAACAGGTGCCACCTATCATTCAAGTCTAAGCCACTGACTCCACATCCTTGATCAAACTTCCTTCTCTATTCTCTACTCTGCCACTGAATTGTGAGCATTTCACAATTACATTTCCCTATGCTAAATTGCTGTGTATTCTGTCTTTACAACGAGGCAACAACCTTTTCTAGGGTGAAGGTTATTGTAACCATAGTAGATTTCCAGCACATAATAGGTCCTCAAGAAATGTGTACTGAGTGAAAAAAACTTGTTCTTATGTTTTAAAAACTGCACTCACATGGATTTTCATCAGAAGTTATGAAAAGTCATTGAATTTACAATGATTTTGAAATGCTTCTTAAGGTGGTAGGTATATTGGATTGGCCCACAAAATCCTTCATTCTCTCCTTCTAACATGATTTTAGGATCTGCAAAAACTGGAAGAGCTCAAAATCCTTCATTTCTCAGACTCCTTTTCAGCTGAGATTCTTGTTGTCACTTAGATTCAGTCAATCGAATGCACTTGTACAAGAGTTAGAAAGTGGAAGTGAGGTGAAGATAACAGTTCTTCCAACAAGAACAGGCGGGAACACATTAAATTTTCTGAGAGAGCAATCCCTGCTCAGTTACTGCCTTTTGGGCGCCGAAGGCAAGGCATCCTGTATCTCCTGGAATGAATCTGCTCTCAGGTACAGTGGGGAGGAATTCCTGATCCCTGGCTCCCAGTTAAGGTAATGCATTCATGAATGAACAGTTCTAGTGTGAGCTTCCTCACTGCCCAAATTCCAGGCTGTGAAAGAAAAGGAAACTTTCATGAGGGCCAGTGCTAGTATAGCGTTCTGGGATCGTACCTGGCCCTGAGCCTGTCAGCCCTAATCTTCCAATGCCTGCTAGTTCCTGGTTCCCAAAATTAAACCTCTTGCTATGTAGAAGAGCCAGTTTCTGTTAATGAAGAGGTTCTTTTCCTTATTTTCAGTGCATGGGACACTGCAGAACATAGAAAATGATGATCAACAGGAGAAAAAGGAAGGGAAGAGAAACGTGAGAGGAGAAAAAGAAAAGGGAAAGAGGGTGGCAGAGCACGTTACGCAGACTTCTTGTTATTGGTGGCAGTATTGTTGTCTGGTGTTCTTTCTTTTTTTACTGGCATTTAAAGATCCATGTATAATAAATTCCAGAATTTACTACAAATGTTTACATTAGTTTAACTTTTCAAGACAATGACAATATTGCTTATTTAACTATATTCATGAATTTGTTGCTGAAGAGAGTGGAAATCACTGTTATGCATGCCCCAACTCATAAGCACTAGCGGAAATTTAAAAAAAAGATAAGTTAAACAATGAATGACACAGAAAAATCTTTGGGATATTTTAGGAACCTCTCACCAGATGTAGAACTGACCTGTCTAGATATAAATAATACTAAAGTTTCTCAAAATTTAAAAACTTCAATTAGCTTTGGCCATTCCCTTATGCTGTGAACATGGATAGCTTATCAGGCAGATGTGTTTGTGGTTTGTATGCACATCTTTGTTTAACCATTACTTTGTTCATGATCCCTTTACAAGGAATTTCTGACCTGCTTTTTTCTTCCAGGGAAAGTCGTATTTGTCCTTCAAAAATCAGCTCATATATCACCTCTGTGAAGACTCCAGTGATTAGTAGGGCAAAAGAATTTATCAAACTTTGCTTTGTGTTCCCATAGTTCTATGTCTACTTCTTTACACACTGGTCAACACATAGACAGTGACAGCATTGGATCAAGCTCCTGACTCCAGCCTCCCACCAGTACAGACCCTGCAAGGCAGCAGGTAATGGCTCAAGCAATTGGGTTCCTGCTACCCACATGGGAGACTTGAATTGTGTGCTCAGTTCTTGAGTCCATTTTCTGTGAGATTTATATTGATTGCTTAAAAAGAAATTTATAACATAAAAAAGAAATTGCCTGTAAAGAAGATGGTATGCAGTCAATCAATAAATAAATGAAACGTGAAGATTTTAAGAAAGATCCAGAAGCTAGAGAGAATGAGCAGTATACAGGTTACTAGGAAGAGGTAGGGGCAACCATGAGTGCTGACACCTGACAGCCTGTGCTGCCTCCTCACAAAACCTGTCTTTCCTAATGAAAGACTAAGGGAATACAGATAGAAAAGATAAAGAAATGAGAAATCAGGCTGGCACCATAGCTCAATAGGCTAATCCTCCGCCTGTGGCGCTGGCACACCGGGTTCTAGTCCCGGTCGGGGCGCTGGATTCTGTCCCAGTTGCCCCTCTTCCAGGCCAGCTCTCTGCTGTGGCCCGGGAGTGCAGTGGAGGATAGCCCAAGTGCTTGGGCCCTGCACCCGCATGGGAGACCAGAAGGAAGCACTGGCTCCTGGCTTCTGATCAGTGCAGTGCCCGCCATAGCAGCCATTTGGGGGGTGACCCAACAGAAGGAAGACCTTTCTCTCTGGCTCTCTCTCTGTCACTGTCCACTCTGCCTGTCAAAAAATAAATAAAAGAGAAATCAGCAACAACAGTTAATGACTCACACTCATCAGGGAGTAGTTGTCCTACGAAGAAAATTTCAGATTCAATTACTTCCATACTCCACTTTGGGAATTTGAGAATACTGTGGTTTGAGTGTTCATATAAGGAAAACTCTAATTTTAAATAGACTGCGAAAAGAAAAGCAAATCTCCATCCCTACTTCACATCAACGCAAAAATCAACCCCAGATGGACCCTAAACTCAAAGCAAAAATAACAAACTATGTTAAATCTGTTAAAAAAAAATTAAAAATTAAAAATTTAAAAAGCAGTGGTACAGTCGTAAAGGTATAAAATATTTTTAAGAATAAACAAAAATATAATGTTTTGTAAGGGAACAGTTTATTCAGGGAATCTTGGATGGTTTGCTATGAAATCATTGGTGAGCTATAAAATGACACATGTAGGTAGAAAAAAATCACGAAACACCTACAAGAAAACATGAGTGAATATCCTCATGTGCTTGGAGCAGGAAAGATGTCTTACAGAGGGCAGAGAAAAGGCTCTAAGTCCAAAAAGTTTGGGTGAATTGGATATCATCAAAATTCTAAATTTTTTAATATCAAAAAATAAGAAAATATAGAGGTAGGTCACAGACAAGCATATTCACAGCAAATTTATCTGGCAAGACTTATATGCAGACCATACTAGCTATTTATATAAATCAACAAGGAAAAGAGAAACAATCCAATAAATGTGGACCAAAAAATTCTTCGTAAAATATGCAAAAGTAGTCAATAAGTATAAGGAAATGCACCTAATACCACTAGTCATAATTTTTTTATAGACGATAAAAATTATAAACAGAATGAGATGCCATTTGACACCCAGTACAAGTTCAGGACCGACAGCTCTTAATGGTGGAAGTGAAGATCCTACAACTTCTTTGTCAAACTGTTTGGCAATTCCCTAAAAAGACAAACACACACCTGCTCTAGTAATGATTCCACTAGAGGTATTTATTCAATAAAATTAAATCATATATACAAAACACACTTGTACAATAATCCTCTTGACAGCTATATTCACAGAAGATCCACACTGGAAGCAATGCATGTTTCCTCAATAGGACAAGGAGAAACAGGCTGGTTTCCACAGTGAAATGCTTCTCAGCGGTAAGTAGAAATGAACTCCTGGTGCCTAAAACAACGTGGGTGAATCTCAGAAACACCCCGACGTGAAAGAGGCTGGATACTAGAGAACATGCTGTATGATTTCATTTATACAAAACTCGAGAATATACAAATAACTCTTTGGTGGCAGAAATCAAAGTAGCAGATGTCTAAGGGGAATGAGATTTAACTACAATCGGGCAGGTGAGAATTGTCTGGAATGAATGTGGAAGGATTACATGAGTGATCAAAAGTCACCAAAGTGTACCCTTAATATATGTGGTTTTCTGTACTTATGCAATTTTTACTTCAACTTTTTAAATGCAAAAATTAAATAGAATTTCAAGTATAAAAACTGGCCGGTATTGTGGCGTAGCTAGTTAAGCCATTGCCTGTGAGACCGACATCCTATATGGCAGGTTGAGTCCCAGCTACTCCACTTCCCATCCAGCTCCCTGCTGATGGTACTGGGAAAGTAGCAGAAGATAGTTCAAATGCTTTGGTGCCTGCACCCATGTGGGAGACCAGAGGAAGTTGGGCCTGACCCAGCCCCAGCCGTTGAGGCCATCTGGGGAGTGAACCAGCAGATGGAAAATTTGTCTCCCTTTCTATCTATAACTATGTCTTTCAAATAAATAATTTAAAAATTAGCACCCAGAAGAAATTAGAAGTTTAAAAATTAAG